TAGGATTAGTCAATGTTCTTTATGCCTGGACCAAAGGGTAAAGAATAGGTATGCTCCTATTTGGCACAATATAAATTGAACTAATTCATTTTATTCATTCTTTATAATTTCTTGACAAGGAGAATGATGCTTTCTTATATATTGAATAACACAATTAAACCATACTTAATATCTTTAGTTATTTATTAGTTATTAAAATTATCTATTTATTTCAATTGCCTATTAGTGACAGATAAGCAAATTGAACGTCGTTGTTGTGATTAAAGTATTGCTTTTCTAAAATCTTAGTTCGTAATTCTAAACTACTCCCTGTGGGATCGATATCTAGGACTCCATTAGAGCCCTATATTACTTGATCGATACATATAAAATGCATTGATAAATGTGACTTTACAATTATTGAATATTTAATACGTCAATATTTATCTTATATTTTATTGCATATATAAAATCGTTGTCATTGAGGTAGAGGAAGCTCGCGACACAAGGCTCTTGGACCAAAAATCTAGGCCGCCAAGGTAGAGGAAGCTCGTAGTAGGAAACTCTCGGACCAAGAAGTCATGTCGTCGAGGTGGCTTTGCCGGTAGGAGAGGAAGAAAGGAGGCTGCCTTTAATGAAAGAATCAGATCCCTTTTTATCGTGAGGTGAGAGAAGATGCTCTGTTGCTTGGAGAGGGAGATTGAGCTGGCTAACGATGATGGTTATTGGAAAGGAGGTCGAACCGGTCATGTGCGGCTCCAACGAGCGAGAAATTTGGGTCATGCTCAACAGGAAAGGTGGGGAAAGTTCAGAGCACGCGATCGAGTGAGATCGGAACAAGGCCGTCGGCTTTGGGGAAGAAGGTTGCGTTTCGGTGCGGTCGCTAGCAAAAAGGAGTCCGGGAGCAGAAGGAGGGCACGACAAAATCGCGCTGAGGAAGTGAGGAGGCAAAAAATAAGGCAAAGGATTTGTGGGCCAGCAGAAGCAGAACTCTAGCGTCGAGGAGGGCCGATAGGACGTCATCGGCGAGAACAGGTGACTCTTGCTTGCAGTTGGCCATTAGCCGAGATGGGGAGAACAACAGAGGTTCCACAAAAAAAAATTGAAAAGGAGGGAGAGGGGAGGATTTCAGCAGGGGCTCCATTCACCAGCAGGAGCTTCATTCACCGACAAGGAGCCCCGACAGTGAATTTTGGGCGCGAGAATGAGCTTTGAGCTGGAGTGGCATTGCGCAAGGGAGGTAGGGCTTGGTAGTCGTTTGAGGGTTTTCAGCGATGTTAAGGAGAAGGATTGGGGGGATCGTCCCTAGGGTTCACTTGCCTTTTTAAAACACTTTGTTTTATTTTTTTTAATTTTTAATATTGTTATTTAAAATCCATTGATTTGTGCATTTTCCGCATGCACATAGTAACATAACAACATGGGTATTCTTCCCGGCTAAAATCGACGTACTGAACATGCTCGTGCGGTCCTTTTCATCATTCGGGGTCATTCAGACAACTTAGTTGATGAACGAGTCAATTCAAGTTTAATTTGCATTCGCCACGGCGAATGTGATCTGTCGATCCAATCAAAGCTATTCGACGAGAAAAATGCTGACTTGCTTTTGCCAAAAATGAGGCTAACAAAGCTATTTTGATCAGATCCTGTTTGGACGTATATGCTTGACATATCCTTGCGAGGTTCGCCATAGGAAAGTTCTCTACATTCTTTTTTTTGTTTGTCCGCCCTTGTTGTATGTCCTGTTTTTCCTATTCGTCTCTTCTTCTGATCATTCATATGATATCGAATAGATATTTATTCAGAAAGATGAAGTATACGACGATAAATAAACTAACGATTCCTTTGATAATAAAAAGAGAAATGAATGAAAACAAAGCTCAAATTAATTTGCTTTGAGCGCGCAAAGTTATTAAAAATAAAGTCAAACCAACAAGTTAAAATTCTTACACGTGCTCATTTGCTTGTCTAAATTGACTAATTTTATGCATCTCAGAATGCTATGAGGGTTATTGCATGATTAAGCTAAAATATAATTTGTCTTAGGAAGCATACACACATATCAAAGCTTTATAGAAATCTAAATTTCTAAATATTAATGTGAAATATATGTAATTACACATTTCTTCAAGTTAGCCACCTTGCATATAGTGTAACCACACTTTGGACAATTCAATCCTCCATCCAGTAGGGATTGAAGTCGACAAAAATGAATCTCCACGGAGATAACTAAATCCACCTCTCTTAATGATGTTTAAGCAATCATTACCCGATGATGGTCGAGTTGATGTTATATTTCAATTGGAGGGGCCTTTATTAAAAAATTATTCTCAAAGACCATTTTAAAAACTCAAATAATAAAATAAATTATGAATCTGATTCTCTGTGAGCAGGATAAAGTCGACAGGGTTCAAAGATAATTAATTCTCCGGTGATAGTTGAGTTGATTGTGAATCTCAATGAGAGGTATATATTTTCAATATTAAACTTAAAAAATATTTGAATAAATTCAATTAATATAAATCATGAATCCGATTCTTTGTGAGTTGGACAGAGTCGACAATGTTCAAAGATAATCAATTCCTCGATGATGGCCGAGCTGATAGAATATTTTAATCGGAGGGGTATATTTTGAAATCTTTTCTCAAAGTCCATTTACAAAACTAAAATAATAATATGAATCCTAAATATCTTCCTTTACGAGAGGGGCCGAGTTGACGATGTTCAAAGATAATCTTTTCTATAATGATGGTCATGTTTATCATGAATTTCAACTGAAGGGGCTTATTTATATATTTAAAATATTTTAAATCATAAAAAAATAATTAAAAGAGAAATTATGCTCACTAATATCTATAGCAAAATCAATCCGCCTTCACAACCATTTACCAAGATTGACAAATTTAATAACTTGTGTTCACAAGAGTCGATGTTATATTAAATATATCACTATATTTAAACTCAGAATAAGTTTGTGTTAGTAAGGATGTGACCCGATTCATTTGTCTATGTGGTTTGATAAGTAGGCTCTACATGAAAAATACAGTTATGACTAGAGCCCTCTAATTGAATTGTTTGGCCAGTAGACACAATTGTAGTGGTTATAGCCAATATGTTCTTCAATGAATGTATGTTTTTTTGAGTATTGAATTATAAGGTTTATTTGATAGGGCACGAAGCGATCTCTAAGTTAAGGTTGACCTAGATTAGTCCCCTTAGACATACATTTATCCTAGATCTATAAGGTCTCCTTGGACAAAACAACCCATGACTGCAGACAATAATTTATTTGTCAGGTTGGGTTGACTACCTTTACTAACTGATTAAACAATGGTACATGACAATCTGAGATGATGAAATCATGAGATCTTGATCAGGTTCTTCATTGTTTCTGTCATCATCCTATTTGAGCTCATAATTATAATATTTTCATGATTTTAAATTTCACATTTGTTGCTACTATATGCTATGTTCGATCACTTAACACCAAATGACAAAGCCTTAATCAAATGTGTTCTTCAGTAATCTGGAAGGGTAATTAACCATAGGGGCTTGCGCGTCTGATAATTCTCGAACCTCATATCTTAATATCCTCACAAAATGAGAGCGGAAACTCTGGATAGTATCCTATCTTCTCTCTTATCTACCTTCAAAAAATTTAACCCAAAATTAAAAGTTTAAGCTCTCAACTAGAGCCAGTGTGTTTTTTTGAATTTTTGGAGCGCACAAATTTGTGCAACTAAACTCTTTTAGCGCCCAGTTAAGCTAGAAGTTGTTGGCCAAACTATTGAGATTAGGCTCTGTTTGGTGCAGCTGCAGCTTTTCAGCTTTTTAGCTGCAGCTGCGCTGCATCAGGAAGTTACTGTGGGGAAGTTGGCTAGTTATTTGTTGCAGCTGTGTGAAAATAGCTGTAGGGCACCTGTTTCTGGAAAAATGACAATTATGCCCCTGTTTAGTTAAAATGTTTGGAATAGAACAATGACAGTCTTCTATATGATATAACAGAAACGGAAATTCATTTTACAAACTAAAAATGTAAAAAATAGACTTCTACAATTTTTAGTTAATCCCAGAAGTCATAAATTTGATATTTAAAAAAAAAATTAAAATAAAAACAATCTAAAATTACATACAAGTAGTTCATGCTTCACCAAAAAAATAAGCATATGCTGCACCAAAAAAAAAAAAGATGATTTACATACATACAATCCAATTCTTAAGTATTTACATGTCTAACACTAACTTTACTTTTTCCGTTTATACCACCCAAATCTTTCATATCACATAAAAAAAAATCACTCTTTTAACTTTTAAAAAGTGAAATACAAATTTTCATGAAAATGTAAGGCATTATATATGGTAAAATTAAAGTTTGGGTGTTAGTTCAATTCTTATGTATTTACACATATAACACCTGTACTTCAATTTTTATATACATAAAATGGCAGCATTCTTTGAGTCTTATAAATGTAAAACATAAAGTTTAGATATGTAAATGCATAGTAATTGGTTGGTATAATTATAAATGTAAAACATAAAGTTTAGAAATACAAGCATTCATTTACAAAGCTACACATACTATAAGAGAACAAAGAGGCATGCAACAAGGATCTAATTAGTTGAAGTTTCCCAATTTATTCAAATATGTTACTTCAGCTTCTTCAAGGTTGATTGTTTTCTACTTCAGTTGTAAAATCCAATACTCAATCGTTGCTGTCAAATATTGATTTGAGTGCTATGTTGGTAAATATGAAAGTTTAGTTGTGAGATAGGTAAATACAAAAGAGTTGTGCTATGCATGTAAATTCCCCTTTTTTGCAGTTTTTATCAATTAGTACCAATAATTCAGTTACTTGTATAAGTGACATTTGTATGCAAAAATTTTGGCTCGTGGCTATTTTGCATCATGTATGTTAAGCATTTGATGGCATCTTACACTTAAAATGAAGAGCCTGAAACAATGATAAGCACCTCCAACGATGGAAACACATAAACCTTGTCATTCCCATGGAATTTACAATCAAGCTGCTTTGCTTTTGGGACGTTACAAAGGTACAACGACTTGAGGTGGGGAAGAGTTCAGTTAAGCAAGGAAAGAAACAATCATATGTTGCTGCACCTGCTCCATCAAACCAATCCTCCATTACTTGTAATACTTTACTATTAAGCACCTCCAACTATCATAAGCTGCTGCACCTGCTCCATCAAACCAATCCTCCAATACTTGTAATCCTTTACTATTAAGCACCTCCAACGATGGAAACACCTAAACCTTGTCATTCCCATGGAATTTACAAGCAAGCCGCTTTGCTTTTGGCACGTTACAAAGGTACAACGACTTGAGGTGGGGAAGAGTTCAGTTAAGCAAGGATAGAAACAGTCATATGCTGCTGCATCTGCTCCATCAAACCAATCCTCCAATACTTGTAATCCTTTACTATTAAGCACCTCCAACGATGGAAACATATAAACCTTTTCATTCCAATGGAATTTATAATCAAGCTTTCGTTCAGACTGATGTACTCCAGATTGGAGATCAAATCTGCATTGCACCCACTCAGTTCATATGTATTTACATATCTAACACCTAAACTTTAAAATTACATATATATAAGTATCAATAAGTTCAATCTAATCAAGCTAGTTTATATCAAAATAAAAAGCTTCAGCATTATATCAACTTCCATATCAAAATAAGATAAGTTTCATATAAGCATTATTAGAAACTGATTGAAGTTACTCAAAATGAGATACTTATGGTGATGTAAATAAGAAAAATAAACAATCAATAAAATAATTCTTAAATCTTAGGATAAGGAAACAGGGACATAGATAAATAAGGAGGTGAATTCTAAATCTTATAAAGAAAAAGAATTCCAAATTCCAGCGAACAAGTTAAATTTACATACATAACACATAATTGGTATGCATAATGTACTAACTATCAATAAAACAACTAAAATCATGAAAAATTTCCATAAATGTTCGTTACTTTTCTCTTGAAATAGCTGTTGTCCAAAATCACAGATCGTGATTCAAACTTAAAGTTACTTTTCTTTTTAAAAGAAGAAGAAGAAGAATGTAATTAGACATTATTTTACTTTGCAGAAGAGAGAAAAATGTAATTAGACATCGTTTTACTTTGCAGAAGGAGCCAGAGAGTAGGAGACAGAGAAGATGACAACGGAGTTGAGCGGCGAGCTGAAGCAAGAGAGAGGGAAGTGGTGAACGGCACCTATGAGGGACGATGGGGGGAGGAAATCATCGAATATCAAGTGATCGGACGACCCTTCTCCCACCAGTAGTACCATTCCTCCTCCTTCCTCCTGGCGGGGTGCAGGGCAGAACGCGTGAGAACTTACGAAGGAGAAATTAAGGGTACGAGAGTAAAAAGCGGAGCGGTAACGCGGACCGCAGGGTCTCACCCGTGGTCGGCATTTCGCCCAGATTCCCGGCAGCGGCGAGCAAAACGCCGCGCCAAACAGTGCCAAAACGCGGCGTCCCGCCGCACCGCACAGAGGAAGCCGCGCCAAATAGAGCCTATGATAACGCAGAAAAATTTTAACTCAAAATTTGAACTTGAACTCAAATTCAGAACTCAGGCTCAACGCCACGAGCCGGATTCTTAGCTCAATCGAAATATTCCAGACCTACATAATTGTAATCTAATTAGCAATCGCAAAACAACAAATTAACTCCCATTCTACCTAATCAACTTTGCCCAATAACGACCAAAACCCTAAAAATACGTGAGATAATTCATGGCGCGTGACATGAAATCATTGTAACAACCCCTCTATTCATTAATTGTATATCTCAAGTCGTTTCAAGCATTGGCCCTTCTGCTCGTTATGAATTTTCCCTCTTCGAATTAGCTCGTCTGCGCTGTGCAGTTTTGAATTCGCGGATGAATCTAAAAATTGAACTTCATCACTGTTCCTGAATCTTTCCTTTCTAGGTCAACACGCCTAATTTCTCTTTCCCCGCCTCATGCTCTGGTTACTTCCCGTCCCCTTCCTTTCCCATCACACCATGCCTTCCCCGCCAACCTTCCTCCTCCTCTTCCAACTCATTCTCCTCTTTTCCTTCCAAACCCATTCTCAGAACGCCCACATCATCACTTCCTGCTCCGCCGACAACTTCACCTACTCAAACCCCTACGCCTCCAATCTCCAACTCCTCCTCTCCAATCTCACCACCTCCGCGCCAAACTCCTCAACCTATTCCTCCACTTTCACCATTGGCACATCCCCCAACTCCCAGATCTTCGGTCTTTCCCAATGCCGGCCAGACGTATCCCCCGCCATCTGCGTCAGCTGCCTCTCCAACGCAGCCTCGACAGCCATTGGAAACTCCTCAACCGGTTGCGGAAAGTGCAAGTCAGCCGCGCTACGCTTCGAACACTGCTTCCTCCGCTATTCTGATAGGCGATTCTTCGGCATCGCCGACGACAGCGTGTACATATCTCTTTACAACCTGAAAAACGCCTCGGATCCCGCTGCGTTTGATAGCCGGCGGAATAGTTTGATGAGGGAGGTGTCGCATAAGGCAGCGTCCGCGGCCTCGAGGTTTGCGGTTGGGATGAAGAAGGCAGGAGATTCATATAATGTTTACGGTTTGGCTTGGTGCACGACTGATTTGTTCACTAGTGACTGCGCCAAGTGTCTTTATAGCGCTGGGAGCTTTCTCGTCAAACAAAAAATTGGGGGCATGGTGGGGTTTCCAAGTTGTCTGGTGAGGTTTGAAGTTTATGTGTTTTTTTCGTTGGATTTGTTGTTTGATATTCCCTCGCCGCCGGTGAGACCTGCGGTAGCGGAGACGCCGACGGTGACGAATTTAGCATTGGGCAATGGAGTTGACAGCACAGGACGAAAAGGTTGGTTTCATTTCTGATACGTTTTTTATATTTTTCCAACATCAGAAATTATTTCGTTTTTTCATAACTGTAGAGAAGTATTAAACCAAACACCAAAAGCTTGGCCGAGAAGTTAATTGGCGTAATTGGAGATATTATAAGGTACAGATTTGGTGTTAGTGTTATGCTTAGTATTATATTGTACACAAAATGTGTCCCAAGCTCCATCTTCTGCCACTTGGGGTTTACAATCCTTTCAATTGCCAGAGAAGTGCCGACTGCAATCTAATGAGAATGACCCTCGACTTATGCCTCCCGGGTAATCATCAAATATATTTTCTCTTTCAATTCCTTATTTTTGCTTGAGAATGGCTGCCACCTGAACCTCATGCTGTTGAGCAACGAATTCTCTCTTATTGATGAAAAGTTTCAACTTCTCTTCCGCCATAGCAACTCTTTGTTTCAACTTCCGAATTCGCAAAGTGGACCTCCCATCCTCCTCCTTGGCGCTATCCAACAAAAGCCCCTGGAAGTGCAAAGCCTCCTAGGCAAGTGCATGGTATCGATAGGCTGCTTGGAACATGTCTCTTCTGCGCATTGACTTCAAAGTCTTCTCAAATGTAGGATGCCAGAGCATTTCTATCAGAATCGAGGGATAGTCTCCATCCAGGAAAGTGTTTGGGAACCAATCGATCTCCCAGTTAATAAGAGCATAGTGACCACTCATTCAAACTCCGGCTCCTCGATCTTGCAAGCTTACCCACTCAGGTGAAATTGCCCCCTTTTGCATAGGAGGAGGGTTCAAGCCTGTATCAAGGGCAGGAGCCTTTCCTTCCCTTCGGGAGCTGTCACTCTCTTTCCGCTTCGCGACCCCTCGCTCCTCCTTAGAATCAGTCTCAATAGAGATGGGACGGGAGGCACGACTCACCTCACCTCACTTCTGCAAAACTATAAACGAGATCTCCCCCGCTGCCGCTGAAACTTTGCCAACCAACGGATGCATTGGCTGACCTTCGGAGTCAAGAATACTAGATAATCATGAAGAGTCTCTCTCGCTTCCCTCCGAAGAATCTAGCTAATTATACAAGAGTCACATAAGTGTGTTTTGCACACAAACAAGTAGGTAACACCAACCTTCAGCATCCCCCTCGCCCGACTTAATCAAGTTAGATTGACCCCTACCTATGCTTTGTAGAGGAGGACCACCTATCACTCGGGGCCTTTTTAAAGCTGCCCTCTCTCCAACAGCTTTCTATCGAGCAACTTTCCTATTGTCGGCCGACCTCCACAAATCCTCGGCCATGGTAATCCAGACAAATCTTGTGTTCGATCACTTTGGGGTCGAGATATTGAAATAAAGAGAGATGCTGACCCTCAATAAGTTCCCTATGATCTCGAACATTCTCTGGTAAGGTCTTCACTTTCTTTATCTTGCACTTTGTCGGAGATGTATAGTTTCCCCAATTGCTCTCACATGAGGCAACCAAGAACTTTATTTTTCAGTCCTTCACTTTGTTATTAAGGCCCAACAGTTGGATCTTAGGACCTGCGATAAATTGAATGTAGCCATCACCTCTAATCCAAAAGGAAAATAAGTAGTTGAAGAGTTGGATCAACCATGGAATCTTCATCCTCCGACAGAAAAGTACTTATGTCATGATGGCGGTGATCGAGTTAGGAAGAACTTGACTAGGACTGATCCCCTAGCGATTGAAATCAATCGCAACTCTCAACAAAACTGCAATCGAAGACCCATCTTAATTTGATATTTGTAAAAAGGTAAGTGAGGAGAAAAATTACCCTTAGTTCACTCGTGGCTGGCTACCGATCGCAGGAGAATCATAAGGTCCAGAACGTAATGATCATGGATCTACTCTACATCCGCCGCAGAGAGGACTGAAATTCTATAGCAAGAATCGAACTACATAATTCCTGAGAGTATTTTCAAACCGTGTAGCTTGAGACACTGCAACAAGAGAAAGAAAAGGAAAAGGAGAGAGGTAGTGGAACTCAGGTAAAGGAGGAAAGAACTAGGGCTCTCAACCGCCGCGTAACTACGTATATATACATGATAGGGCAGTATAAGGGAAGGCAAAATATCACCGACAAGAGTAACGCGACGGAATTACACGTTACATGGAGCAAAGTAATGATTACCAATAACATAAAAATATATTCTATTTATATACAAAAAAGGGGGGCATCACACCGAACTCTCGCTTATAATTAGAAAAGAAAAAACGTAACTAAGTGATTGTTCACAGCATCGTCCGAGACAAACCTTCAATGACAAAGCCGTTCATACATACTCGTCGTCCAACTTGAAGAGGTCATTCTAACTACCCCTTGACTGAGCGGTGAGGATCTCTTTAACGATTGACAGTTCTAAACACAAGTGCACCATTTCCCCACAATCAACAAGCATTCCCCCCCTCTCCTGAAAAATAGCAAGCTCCTCGCGAAGTGCAACAACTTGCTTGTTCATTTGGTCAACTCTCTCTAGAAGTTTAGTAATTCTTTCGTTGCTATCCGCTCGAGTATAACCCACAAAACAAAAGAAACACTCTTCCATCTCAGCAAGACACCACACTATGAAGTTGAAGGACACCCTACGCCCCCGGTCACCTCCTCTTCCCTCGCAGTGCCGGAAGAAAGCTGATAATTCACACTCTTGTCACACCTAGGGTTAAGTTTTCCTCCATTCTTTCCTGCTCCTCAACACCCTGCTCGACACTCTGCTTCACAACATCTTGCCCCATTATACCCTGTTTCGCAACATCCACTCCCTCAGGGGCGATTTGTTTTAACTGCGAATGCATAATCTGCTTGACCGACATCAGTATCTTTCGACACAGAATCAGTAGTCAAGACTTCATTAATTGCACTAGGAAAAGAGATACAAAAGAAAATTCAAACTACATACCCAATATTCGCCCCTGTCATTCAGATGTCGTGTAAGAGAAAACATCCTCACCAGCTTTCCCTAGCCCTTCATCCTCAGAATAAAAGCTGCTCCTTGTCAGTCAAAGCCATGTCTCAACTTCGACTGACACCTCCTCAAGACCTCTTTGGGGAACTACAACCCCCACAACAACCTAAATAGACATTCTTTCTCCTTGGTAGGAACACTCACCTTCAACAGGTGCATTGTAAGGCGCACGCCAGAACTACTTCCAGCTTGCTCCGTAGTCCTCTTGTGTAATGAGCCTGTGAGGAAATTCGAAGACCTGGCCCGCTCCTCAGTTCGTAGTTTCAACATAACCTTCTTCTTGCTCATTTCCCCTACAAAGACTTTGTTTGTCGGCTTTCGCTTCGCATCTGGTTTGCGGGTCTTCGCTCACATGCCAGTCATGGCCTTGAGAAGGGCGTCTCTGTCAGCAGGCAATGCTCCTTCGCCATACATAGTAGCAGATACAGAAAGGAAAAGATGGGAATTCCAAGGAGTAAGAAGGAAAGGAGAAGCACAAACTTTTCATATCCCATGACTTATTTATAGTGATATGGACACGAAAAATCTAGGGAAGTTCATTACTGCACAATAATGACATTTAGTTATTTCTTACATGTTAAAAAAATTCCCTTTACCTTTTGTGCTTTGCAACTTCTAAGGAGCAAAAAAATCGGAAAACTAAAAAATATGTACAAAAAAAAATGTCAGCGCAGATATTAAGGCAGAACGAATGGCTTAGAAGGATGACGCGATCAATCGAACATTTCTGTAAGCGATTGACTGATTAATGCTAGCAAGGAAGGCGTTTAGATCTATTGATCATAAGGACGTGCCCGATGATTTAATATTGGATGACGATCGACCTAAAGGTTGATCGATAAATTGTTGAGTTTCAGATCAATTATCGATGGAGTTAAAGTTAAACGAATGGCCGACAAACTTCTCATCGATTGGCATCAATCCGCTAGTCTTATTATATTCAAATATA